GGAAACATTGCCGTTTTTAATATTTTAGCTGAACTGATTTATTCACAAATGTTGACAAAGATTAAAAAAAACAACAACAAAAAAACAACAGGTTAGTTTTAAAATATGGCATCCTAAAAAAAAAAAAAAAAAACCCCGGGGCACCTTTTTAAAAAAACCCCGACCCTTTTTTTTTTTTTTTTTTTTTTTTTTTTTTGGCGTCCCCCTTCCTTACCTTCTTCCCCAAACGGCCTCCTCTGATGTATGTATAATGCATTACATAAACCTGAAGAGGAACCAGCTTACATCAGACGGCTGATTTGTGTGCCAGTTTGTCCCGTTTTATGCACATGGATGTGAGTTCAGTGCCGTTTCAGCTCATGGATGGTTGACAGGAACAGATGTTTGGGATGTTAAGGTACCGCTGTTCGCGAGGCACATATTAGACGTCGAGAACAGACCCATTTGCGCTCACCGACGAGTCTCTACTGACGTGCAGCATTTGATGCCTCATTGGGCTTTGCGCATGTGCGTGTACATCATCGGATGTCCGTGAGAGAAGGCGAGGGAAGCGGAGAGCAATGTGACAGGCAGAGAACATTAGACCCATCGTACGATATCGGCGGGAAGGACGTACCTCTTGCAAAATGTCTCTCGGCTACCGCGCGTATTAAAGGTGCTCTGACCTTGGGCATGTGCCATATGTTCATTCAATTTTACCAGTAGAATACAAACACAGATGGCTCCCCTGAAATCCAAATGTGTACACAAATACACCCAATGCAGGCAATGAGCTGAAACAGCAGCTGTTGTGTGATTCAAGACTGTTTGACTATTTGATCTCCCAAACGCTACTGTATACAGTATGCTGCGTAAATGCTGCATTTCATTAGTATCTGAGGCCGTGTGTTCTTGTGCTTTGACAATTTCTGCTCGTACTCACTAGTTCTTCATTAATATATCGCCAGCTTCACAACAAATTTGCTGGATTCTCTCTGAATTACATGCTTAGCCAATTCTGCACCTGGTTGCCATGTTCTGTTTTTTGTTTTTTTTTCCAGTCACTTGTTCAGTGTTCCTATTTAGGGAGTTTATAAGCTTTAACAAAAAAAGAACAAACAGACAAAAAAAAAATGTTTCGATACGTTTAACCCCTTACAAGAGTTGGAATGGCTGTAGCTTTTATGCATTAAAGTCAGATAAGAAGCACACGTTAAACATTTACTGAAGTAACTGGTTACTTCTTTGTAGCAGATAAAGGTCTTGGACTGGTTTGACATTTATTCACATAATCTTTATGTTTTTCTTAATCCAATTATTTTTCCACTATATTACATCAGTATCCATTCTTTTGGACAAACCCAAACTTCTTATCAAGGCATCTGGACGGAAAAACACACAAAAAAGCAAAGAGTTCATCAGGTCCGCCGTGACGTTTTTCTGCTTCCAACACACTCTGTTAAAAAAAAAAAAAAATGAAATCAGTATTGCACTCAAACATCTGATTGTTCGCAGTCGTTGTCGATCTTACTCCTTCTTTGTTGACTCTTGAACGGCCTTAGCTCCATCCTGACCGTACTGTACCATTGGACCTACAACTGAAGGTGTTCCAGGAACGGTGTGGCTGCTGCTTTTGCAATGAAAACTGACAGAATAATGTCAGAGCCATATCGACCTCTGCCATACTACTCAGTGAAAAATTCATTTGAATCGTTTTAAAGAGTTTATTAGTTGCTTTTAAGGTTTTGTTGGGGTTAGGCTCCTCCTACGTTGCTGATCTTTTGAATTGGTACTTTCCCTCTAGATCATTGAGGTCTGCAGACTAAAAGTGAGTTGCTTTTCCTGAAAACCCACTTTTAGTCTTTGACTTTTAACCAGAATGAGTTCTGACTTTGTCACATCTGTCAAATGTCCATTGTTTGTATCTTATTGAATATTTAATTGCACATCACCTTGGTAAACAGCTGTTGTTCTTAAACATGCTTCATAAATATTTGACTTTGACTTTGACCCACGCTCCGTGAGGAAGGTGTAGATATCAGTCTACTCAGCAGTCTGCCTTTGATTTTGTAGGCCATAAAATAAATAAACCAACATTTTGGCATTTAAAAACACTTCTTATATAATCCTATGTAATGTTCTTTAACATCTGACAAACTGAAGTAAATTGAATGTAAATGGCCTGAAATGAGCGCCTAAAACATATCAGTGTTACAGGAATCTGTTTCATAAAATTAGTTGCACTCTTCGTAAAGAGTGAGTAAAATAAATTTGCTTCCAAACAGCTTTTAATCTACTGAGATGTGCCTTTACTAGCTAACTATAATCACTGATCCATTGTTGTGTCGTGGGCAACGATCTCATCTCCTGCAAATTCTGTTGAACCAGATAATGTTTTAGGGCTCGGTCTTGTTTCACGTATTTGTCAAAGAAAATGGAAAGCGCAACTAAAACTCATAATTGTTTTTTTTCTGGATTTCCTCAAAATGACTTATTAACTTCTAAGGAGAGGACTCAACATGTCTTGACACATATTTCATTCCCATGGAGATACGGAGTCTCCTCTCTTGCTTCCAATTAAAATTTTCTTAGAAAATCGGTCCTGGAGAAACGGAGAACCTCTGACATCACCAAACTTCACCGTTATCTGGCTGAAAATGGAGATGTTGGACACTCCAGGGTCGGGGGGGGGGGACGATGGACGAGGTGGCTGTTAACCAACAGTTACCACCACATAAAGCCTTTATCTCACCTAAACGGCTCCGACTCCCAAAGCCAGACTGCGATAAGCACAGTCCATTCATCTGTAATGACGTGGAAGCAAGAGGCAGCTGAACTAACTTGAGCGAAAGGGTAACTCTGACACAGTGTGGATGACTGGAGAAGGTGCTGGGGCACTTAGGGGGACAGGGGGCTATTTATTCATTCTTTGGAGATTTATTATCTTCTTGTCAGTGTGCTGCTACAAATCTGATTTTACCTGATTGTGTTCTATTGTTTGAAAGAAAAAAAAAAAAGGAAATGCACGGGACTAAAACACAATACATTTTTTTAAATTAGATATTTTATGGCTGGAAGCAGAAAAGATAAGCTGAAATTCCCAAACCAGCTGCACATTTAGAGCAAAAGTTTATTTTTGTTTTGTTGTTGTTGTTTTTTTAAGGGTTTATGAGTTTTGCTTTGCCGCATTACTTTTCGGTTTTTCTGAAAACCGATATTGTTTTAAATAGTAAAAATAAAATCCCATTGATTTCTTTGCCAATTTGTAGTCCCAAAACATATCCGTTGGTTATTACAATCAGTATTTAAGTAGTTTTAATTAATTATCTAAATAAAATAAGGTCGTGGTCACGTTACACTTTCAACATTATGCATGTTTGTAGATTTCATGCCAGAATTTGTTTGGACTTTTATGGAGACATCCACCCAGGAACATTCCTGTTCAACCATTCAGTACCTCTGGACTGGAGATGTCCCATTTTAACAACGAATGTACTTTTCTACACTCCTAGACCTTAAAATGAAATACTGTTACATGACTCCAATAAATGTTTCTCAGCAGGAGGTTGCTTGAAGTAAACTTGGTTTGATCACAGGGTCCTATTTGTCATGTTTTATAAAAGCAGGCTGGTCCAAATATACCCAAATATTGTGTAATTGAAAGTTTTCAGAAAGTAAGAATTAATAAACTAGCTGCCAGTGAGATCTGAACATTTTTATGACCAACCTCCATGTGTGGACCTCTATATAACTCCATAAGTCACAAAAAAAAAATTCATAAGAGAAATGCAATCTGAGGCACAATGCTTAAGGTTATGTGTGTTTGAATACTGGTACAAGTTGGAAGTAGGAGGCAAAAAATTAAGAAGTATTCAAATTAAATGGGATACAAAAGGACAAAGAGATAGCTTGATGCAGATTTGCGAAAATAAAGATGAAAAATATTCCACATTTACTGAACTGCATGTTATCTTCTCCAGATTCTATGCTATTTTTTTATTGATTATGGTTCTGATTGTTATTTCAGCCCGTTAAATCTTGTACATATAACTTTGAACAACAGCTCAAGCTGTATCTCTGAGTCACTGCCTGCTTTTAGATATGACTTTAAGAAAAATTCAATGCACTATTTCCTTACACTAAATTTTGACAAGACTGTGGGAAATTACTTTTAATCACTCGCTGTCAAAGCAGGTAATAAAGGTGTCAAAATTTGGTTGAGATTGATGTATGGACGTTTTTAAAAGCTTCTTTTAAAAAGACTGTGGAAAGGACCAGTATTCCTTAAGACAGGGGTGTCCAAAGTCCGTCCTTGAGGGCCGGCCTGCTGCAGGTGTTGGGTGTCTCCCTGGTGGCAGTTATTAGTTTCTTCTCTGCATGTCAGTGGTTTGCAGAGATCTGCTGCTAATGAGCCTTCGCTGGATCCAGGCAGGTGTGTTTAACCAAAGAGAGAACTAAAACATGCAAGACTCCGGCCCCGAAGGACTGACTTTAGACATCTCTGCCATAAGGTAGCATCTTATCAAAAGTAAGATGCTTTTGTTGCATTTTCAATTTCATTACGCACCAAATGTGTCCATCCAGTATTTCAGGCAGTGTCTGTTTGCCTGCATCAGTTGGAGAATCTGGGGAAATTATTGCATCTCATGTATCTCGTCACTCGGACTGAAAGTTGCACTGCCTCGTCTGCCTTTTTACTATTAAACACATATAAAGACACAAATAAGACAACTAAGTCTTTGTGATGTTTAGACCGCGTCTCCATCTCTTTGGCCCTCTGGAGTCTGGCTTACACAATCCTAACCGCATCCCTTCAACACGACAAGATTTCTGAGAGCAGAATTTTTTCAAGCACGCTTACTGCAATCTGCAACTTGTCTGTGTCTTTCAGGTTTAATTGGTGTCCTCGACTGCAGCGCTGGACTTGGTCTGAAAGAGCAAGACGGATGAACCCGCAGAGTCTAACCGAGAATGTTCCCCGTCCCGTCGCCTCACCATGTCTCCATAGAAACAGTATTAACTGCCCCCTTTCCACGATTCCTCCTTTTGCCTTTGTCATGTCCCGATAACCCCCTGGGTCTCTGATCCTCCCTCTGTCCTAACCACAGTCCCTGAGATCTGAGTCCAATAGTGTTACTTTGGAAATGTTCACTTTCCCGTTCAATGCTGCCAGCCACCACGGCTACGGTGGGAAGCGTCTGAATACTTCTCAGCAGGCCCCCAAACCCTGTCTGATGTGGCTCCTGGGACTAGTGCTGCACCTGACTCTTTCCTCTTCTCAGCGTATCGACCTGAAACATCCCATAGTTTCCACCAGCTATGGAAAGGTGCGCGGCATCCGGAAGGAGCTGAACAATGAGATCTTAGGCCCAGTGGAGCAGTTCCTAGGCGTGCCGTACGCCACCGCGCCCATCGGCGAGCGCCGCTTCCAGCCCCCCGAAGCCCCGGGCTCCTGGCAGGAGATACGCAACGCCACCCAGTTTGCACCTGTGTGCCCCCAGAATGTGCACGGCGTTTTGCCCGAGATCATGCTGCCGGTGTGGTTCACCGACAACTTGGATGCAGCGGCGACCTACGTTCAGAACCAGAGCGAGGACTGCCTTTACCTCAACATTTACGTGCCCACTGAGGACGGTGAGTCTGACGCGCGACACAAATCTCTCCAAGCAGGGGTGGGAAGAGTTGAATTGGATAAGTCAGCCAGCTGAGAAAATAATCACCAAATTAATGAAAACAATAATGAGCCACGTTAGCTCCTCCCCTATTAATTAAAACTATAAAATCACTTTTTATTAGATTTGAATCATCTTTTGCATAATTTAATGACATAAGGGTTATTCTGTCATTAACAGGTTTTATACAGAAACAATTATGTGCAAAAACTGTCTTTCTCTTTATGCAAAATGCTCCCAGTTTTCTTACATCAAGATTAGTTCAGTCAGTAATCAAGTGGGTTTGAGGCGAAACCTGGTTGTTGCTTCTGAAGTGGAACCTTATTCAAGCTTGTCCCAATATTTATTAAAGAGTTAGTTCAGAATTTCTGGAACAAGGTTTGCTTTCAATAGGGTTTTACACAGAAGCCGATGGTAGTTCACATAGAAAATGGGAGTTGGAGGCTGTACATCCCTAACGATCTTTCTGTGTGGAACACATACTGGTCGTCAAATATGTCAGTATGTGTCCCGGTCAGAGTAACTAAAAGTAAAATATTGTAAGAATAAAAAAAGATCCCAACTTTATATCAAGTAATTATGAACTACACTGAGCATTTTAACTATAAACAGACAGTCGCACAAAAATGAAATAAAATGCGAGCTTTCCTTTCAAATTGTCATTCCAACATGTTGAGGATGTTTATTTTTTTCAGATTGAAAATGTGTAAAACACTGTTGTGTTTTTAAGTTCTTTTTGTTTAACGTTTCTATCATTTCATTCTATTCTTAACCCTTAAAGGGATCCACAATTAGTAAATAAGCTGTAATTTTCTCATTAACTAACAATTTGATATTTGTTATATGTAAAAACTCATAATTACTTCAAAATCGTTATATCTGTCGTCATATTTTTCACCTGTGGAAGTTGCCATCTTGTTCACCTGCGCAATACAGAATGTCTGCAAGAGCGTCAAAACTCACAGCAAAAGCAAGTCAAACTAATCATGTTTAAAAAAAAAAAGAAACAAAAAATTAAATTTTATGTTTTTGTTCTAGATATTTAAACATTTATTTTAATCATAGGTAGAAATAATAAAAAATAAATGCAAAAAATAATGTATGAACAATATGCCATTTTATTTTAGTAGATATGATTAGATCATATGGTACATTTTTGTTTAAAATCTTTATCTAAAACTGTGATCCTGTCGAACCTTTTTTTTTAAATTCTGTGGGGAATCTTAACTTTGCTTTACTGACTTATATCTCGTAGTGTAAATAACAGACACTTATACTACTTAACCATAACCTCAAAAAAAAAAAAAAAAAAAAAAAAAAACCCTCAACAATTCATATGAATCAGTGTTGTTTTCTGCATGGAGACAAAGTCAGGTGCGCCGATTGAGTGGCAGCCAGTCCGACTTTATTATTAGTTGGACAAAATAATTTCCCTGTGGGGATCAATAAAGTAATCTGGATTCCTGAATCTTAACATCTAACCGCATTTGCGAAAGCATTTGCGAAAGTAAATAGGCAGAAGAAAGCGACGGAAGCATTCGAAATGCAAATCGTAATGATGATTATAAGTAGCATCAGTGATAAAAAAAAAAAAAAATTAATAAGCATGTGATTAATGGGCTCACCTGGGAGTTGCCCGGCGGCGTTCATGAAATCACATGTTTATGCATCACTGCTGCTGGAAATGAAGAGCAACACAGAGAGCAGTCTGGAGCGGTTAGATGTTATGTGCTATTCCAACATAACATCTAACATGATAAAACCTCGCAAAAGCAATCGTGCCTTGTAAGCTCGTTTTCATCTTTCACCACATTACAACCGAAAACGTTAAACGTATTCTAATGGGATTTTATTCAGTAGACATACAAACGAATATATGCAGTTAGAGTTATTTATTTAACTTTTTTTTTGGAAAACAACAATTATAAAAGTGTGGTATAATAGGTGATACCCTTTAATCAGACTCAGGGCACCCAACTGGACCTAGTTAGTAAATCCAGTACACCTATGTGTAATTTAACCAGAAGTTGTACTACTTCTGACATACAGGTCAGTGGTGTAGGTGTGAAGAAGTTTTAAGCACATTAAACATAACCCATCAATTAAAAATAAAGTATTTAACCAACTTTAGCTTAGCCAACTATATTGCATCTAATACAACTGAAGTTGTACATTTTCCTTAACTTAATCAGATCCACTTATGTTTCTGTAACCCAATGTATTTTTATCAGTTATGTGTGATCTATAGTCATTGGACTGTGGACCCGTCCAGGGTCCCCCACCTGGGGATCACCCGCCTCTTCCCACAAGGATGCTAGATTATTGATTTTATGGACAGATGGATATTCATTGGCCTTATGCAATTTGTTATTTTCTTTCCAAAATCAAAGTTACATATGTTTTTTATAACCTTCCCAAATCATAATTTAATTGGTTTATCGGAAATTATTCAACTTAATCTCCCGCAAAATGTGCATGGAACAAAACTTAGTAAAAATGGATACTGCAAGAAAACTGTTTGCTCACAACATACACCAACGATAGGCACTATTTCTCTTACCTCAGATGTTGTCAAACAGGGTCAATCAAGAAATCCTAAGGGGCCTTTCCAAAGCTCCACATGTGGAACACCAGATACCGTGGATATAACAAAAATCCCCTGAGATGGCACATACACCAACATCATATGTCACCACACACCAATGTACTAATAAAAAAAACAATGTATGACATTCATATGCAACGTGATTCGCACGATGAACAGCGTTCTGGCAAATAAATTATAAATCCAGTCCAGTTTAACCGAACACATTTGGGGTTGAAGGAGAAGGTTTTATGCAATGAAAATGATTTGAGGGTGGAGACAGACATCCAACCCCGCCCCATTTCTAAGGTTTGCAGCCGGAACCTTCTCAGTTGTTTTAGCTCACTCTGTCTCATACATAAATGCTTAGACGCTTTGTGTTACCTGAATTAAATATTTTTTTTTTTAATCAATTAATTTCGGCACATTAAGTGATAATATAATTTGTCACCTTTGTGAGTAGCTGGAATCTATTTTACGAGTGCATAAATTAGCACCAAGCAAAGGCTGCAAAACAAATCAGCTGTGAATGCGCACCACACTTTTCAGATTTTCATTTGTGTAACAAAAGCCTTGATCCGTAAGTCACTGGGAAGACGAAAGCAGCATATGCATGGCCACAAGTTCTTAAAACAGCAATGCGCCAAGAGTCGAGGGAGACAAAACTGACTTCCTGTAATCATATTAGAAAGTGAAGTTAATGAGCAGTTCTTCTGGCTGTGCTGCGTGTAAACTGTGTGCTGCATATGTCACACACCCAAGGACAAGATGATGTTTAGTCTCCGGGCTTATTCCCTTGGGAAAAGGTGTGCAAATGAGTGAGACAGATTTTACATGTAGCCTTGTCTGCTTGTCAGATACTGTCACTTATTGTCAGAGGTCACTGCTTACACAAGGCGGATGCTGTCTCCAAGGACATGTTTTACCTTGTGTGTGAGAGAAATTGAGAAGCAGGGTGGATTACTCCTGGAATAAAATAGATGTTGGACTTTGTACCGTAGTCACAGTCCCTGAAATTGTTTACAGTTGTTAGAGGCAGCGAGAGGTCAACAAGCTGTATTCCACAGTCTGTGAAAACTCGGCTGAGTTAAGTTGTGATTCAGAATGAGTTATGTACTTTTTTTCCCCTTTGGTGGGTTGAGAATTTGGAGAGTAAATCTCCTATAAATGATGCAATTCGTGCCCATGAAACTATTTTAGACTTGGCTTAAACGGATTCCCTTTGTCATCAGTCTTCACATTGTAATTACAAAGGATGGGGACATTTCTTTCAGATTTCTAATGGAAAAACACTCAAATATTTAAATTATAAAAACGTTTTCAGAACAGTTTTTATGGCACTTGAAACAGAATGTCTGCACTTCCTGCCTCCAGTCCATCTCACATGTACGAAGGGCAAATTCTGCGTGTGAAAATGAATATGCCTCTTTTTTTTTTTTTTTTTGCTGTTGTTGTTTTGAAAGTCTTTAGTTTCTTATGTGAGATCCTTGCACCAGTAATTCAGCAGTGCAGCCTTTGAGTGCAGGTCTGATCTGGTAAAAAGAGAAATGTGAGCTAGAA